TAACGCACTCGAGGGTAGATGATAGCTTCATCCATGTTGATGTCTTTTATACTTATCATCTCTATCTCAACTCAGATCCTCATTACCCTCAGGCTAACTCCTATACCTTGTAATCTTCCTGTTCTCTTACCTGCTTACTCTCCTACTCCTGGACGCGCTACCTTCTATACTTTCCTCATTTAGACCCTGATCTACTGAATGTACACTGCCTATGTTCGGATCCAGGACGTCTTTTAACCGGGAGTTCGTTTACCTTCACGCGTTTCTTAAGGACTGATCGTCATCTCCAGCGCAAATCCTGCTCCCTAGTTTGTTCAAAATATCCTAGACTCTAGCTATATCACTCCCGCCATTCTCTAACCGACTCTAGTGGCTACGTCCTTCTCTGCTCACCACTCGGAGTTCGTTTACCTTCACGCGTTTCTTAAGGACTGATCGTCATCTCCAGCGCAAATCCTGCTCCCTAGTTTGTTCAAAATATCCTAGACTCTAACTATATCACTCCCGCCATTCTCTAACCGACTCTAGTGGCGATCTACGTCCTTCTCTGCTCACCACTCGGCTCATGTCCCCCTTCGCGCCCCGACTTTATCCATTATCTTATACCGTATCTAGCTTACTCTCGTGGTCCTATTCTCACATTGCTAAACCAACCGCCCTGTCCCTCTCACTTCCCTCCCGAATGCTAGATGTGTTCTTCTGTGGATCAATCCATGTTCAGCTCATCCTCGGATCCTCGCATTATCCGCAGTTCATTCCGCTCTCAGATCCTGCACCTAGATCTACTGAATAGAGTCTCAGTATTGGATAAATAACCGACCCGTGTCCTATTCTTGGTATCTGTACCAAAACGACTCCTGTCTCGGCAGAGTCACACCCGGTGCTACAGAAATCCATTCGGATCACGGAGTTCAAAAACGTTTTTTTTCTCGCCAATAGTCCTTACTCCTCCGACCAGCTCACATTTTAATCATTCGATTGACAAAAAATATCCTGGTAATATACCAGGTTACGGGCCATGGCCCAACTCATGACATACCCCGCAAAATAAAATAAAATAAAGCAAATCAAATCAAATTTAATGACCCGCCCAAAACACAGACTGAGAACACTGCTGATTTCTGGGATTTGCCAATGGAATGAATGCCTTGCTGTGATTCCCGCATTCTGCTGTGGTCCCAAGTCTGTGTGTGTGCGTGCCTGCTGGTTTGCATGCCTGTCTGAGTGCTTGCTGGATGTGTGTGTGTGTGCGTGCCTGCTGGGTTGCATGCCTGTCTGAGTGCTTGCTGGTTGGGTATGTGTGTAACCCGCCAGGGTACTTGTTGGCTGCAAGGCCCACCGGGCCGGTACTTACCTGTGGCCGTGACTTTGGAGGGTTGCAGGGGGGTAAACATGCCGGTAGCGGGGAGTAGGCCCACGACA